ACACAGTTCTTTAAAGTCAATAGTTTGACCTGTGCAGCCATCTGAAAACTTACAATCTCTGTTACAAGATCCTGACCTACAACCCATGCACTTTCACAACATACCCATGTACAGAGCCTCAGTCAGGCTGTTTGCATTTTGATACAATCATAATGCTAATAGAGTATTTGAAGCTCGGGGTTGAATGGTGGATTCCTTGGTGCTCTCTAAGTTTGGTTGTCTTCTTGCGGATGTTCCATTACTTAGTTAGGTAATGAAACATCTGCAAGAAAACGACCAGGCTCAGAGAGCACCAAGGACTCCACACTCATAATGCTTATAGGAAGAGAGTAATGTCTAAATTGAAAACATTTGCCACATTTCCACATGCTTCCGAATATAAGCAAAGAACATTACTTGGTAGAATTGCTTGCACTCCAGCATAGGTGATTCAGGGATGCCTTGTCTGCCATGCAGTTTTCGGGACCCAATAATCCCTGACTGTTGATTTTATTATAAGGATTTTATAATATTATTATATTATAAAGATATTATAAGGATTCCTTTTAGCTACTGGTATATATCTGCATCAGGGGTGGGTTCAAGCTTCTGCTACTGCCGATTCGCTAAGGCATGTGCTTGATGCATGCTACATGTGCTTGATGCATGCTACATGTGCTTCATGCATGCCACACACACTTGATGCATGCTACACACGCATGTGCAGTAGTAAAAAATGATAAAAAACAAGATGGTGGCACATATGGCGCCACCAATAGAACCGGTTCGGGGACATGGCAGGCCGAGTTACTACCAACTTGGCTGAACTGTGGCCGAACCCGGAGGAACCCACATCTGATCTGTTTGCCTTTTTTGAGTCGGAATGGGACAACTTGCCACAACCAACTTACAGCCAATTCACTCCTGCCAATTCACCATTCACCATGGGAAAACACATTGTAGGATAATTCAACAATTTTATTTAATTATTTAAAATAATTAAAAATTATTTTAATTTTCTGTCATTCACATTTCATTTTGTCCCTCTTTTTGCATCCTTTCTTTAATGATGTTATTTCACAATTTCTTCTATATTATGTAATTTTTGTCCTGCGGCAAGTTATCCCGCAGCGAGTTGGCCATGGTGATTGGGTTGCTTGTTGGGCTTGTAATTGGGTGTGCGTGTGTTCCTCTTTTGGTTTTTGATATCACAGAAAGTTTTGTGCCTTCTCTTGGTCCACCTCAGTGATAGAGGAGAGTTATGAGGCTTTTGGGGAGCTGGAGTTGGTAACTTATCTTTTGTTTCACCTATAAACCTGTGAATTGAAAGCATATTTTCCCTTGGCCTTTGGATAAACTTGATTTATAGTATGTTTATTATACAAGGGAACAAAATGTATTCTGTTAGCCAAGAAGAATAACCTAATCAAATGAAATATTGTTCTAGGAGGCACAGCTTCCTACTTTCAATATAAAGTTGGCTGCAGTAGCGTTATACATGTGAGGTGAACTGTCCTTTGTGTCTTAAAGATATATATTTACACAGATAATACAGCGAGAATAATCTTTTCCCTGTTGCAAGGAGGTTGTGTAGATATAACTCCTAACAAAAATGATATTAAGTTAAAATAAAACTAAAGGACTGATTGGGCTTTTATGAACACTGTGCACAGTCCTACTTCCTCCAAACTTTGGCTCAAAAGTGTCAGGCTAATAATTTCTGATGAATACCTACTCATATGCAACCTTCGTATCATAGCAGATACTGAGGCCAGGGGTTTTTCTAAACCATTTTCTCCTGAAAGAACCCTTCTGATATGCAACCCCTTTGTGGTGACTGAGCTGGATGACACAGTAGGAGTAGACTCTCCTAGCTTCTGTTAGTTGCTTTCAGCTGAGCTACACATACTCCTTCCTTCTGGACATCTGCACTAGGTGGTAGCTTGAGACGAGCAAGGAGCCTGAAGTAGGATGGTAGGTCATCTATCAAAAAGTTACCTCTGCCCTCTTCCCAGCCACAACACCATGTTGAATCCAGATGATGGTTGGAAGCTCAGCATGTGGGGAGATAAGATCTGAAGCAGCAAGTGACCTCTCACTAGTTTTCTTTCACAGCATTCATGAGCTGATGTGATGAATGAGCTCTGCCACATGTTGTAAGAATGCTGAGGCAGACCAACAGGCAGACTTTCTTGAATCATATTTTGAGTTCCCATATTAATATATGGGAGGCAGACTATGGATGAGCTTTGGGAAACCACAGTTATGCTTACAATCTTACTTCTGCTTTCCTTTGCTTTACAGACCTGGGATGCTCGCATATGTGAGGATTGGTCACACAGTTACTTTTCAATTACCACCATAACTGCCAATAGCTGCTAAACAAGGCAATCATTAAATGAGGACTACCTCTATTATCTTGCTACCCGCCTTCACATAGAATCATATAACTAAATTTGCTAAAAGCTGAATTTTTTTAAAAAATATATTTTTATTTTCAAAACAAACATACAAATCCTCCTTCTTTACATACTGTAGAAAGTATATCAGTTGGTTGCAAAAGGCTTTTGTGCATCTCTTCCACCATCATCAAATATAGTTCATATTAACTCTAATATCTCAACTTGGATATTTATTATATTACCATCATCATACTTCTATTTTTTGACTATGATTATTTGACTATGATTATTTAAACGTCCTTCATCATAAAATATACCAAGATTTAATACATAACCACATACTGGCATTTCATTTACTTATTTATAAAATCCTCCATTAACATTGAATCCTCATATCCTATTCTAGCTAAACATCCATAATATTTAATACCAAAATTTTCTAATCCTCCTTTCCAAATCCCTGTTTACCATTTACATCCAATTCCGTTATATTATACCCATATAATGTAATGTATACAATGTGTAGTGTTAAGATAAGTAATAATTGGATATGAATATTGAATGTTACCCATGAAGGGAAGGCTAGAAATCCTTTTGGTCTATATATAAAGGTTATTAATAATAATAACAATAAAAAAGAACAAAATTAGACACAGCTAAGTTTTAATTATTAATGGTAAAATATTATGATATAGGATATAGTTAAATAAAGAAAGGATAATGATAATAAATTATATACATGTATGGGTATAATAAAAGCTGAATTTTTGAGTCTCTGCACTCTCAAGCTGCTGTGATTTTAAATGCTTGCTGGAATTTTGTAATGAATTTTGGTAGGTTACTGACTCTGCTATGAGTTAATAGCCTTAGAAGCTATTGAAGAAGTTATTAAGTTGCTGCGCAGTAATGTAGACTTGCCTGGGAAAAAATCTGAGTGCTAAACAGATGTCAAGATGTACCAAGGGCTACTGGGACAGAAGAAAAAACATGACAGTTTTCTCTTAGACAAGAGCCAGCAGTAATTTGAGTCTGTTTCTAGCACTAATTAAAACACACTTCTGTTCCCTGTAACAGAAGGACCCCAAAAAGAAAACCCAAACTCACCCAAGAGTTGAATTTATAGGTAATCCATGGTACTTTGACTTGCATGTTTCATGTTGATTTTTTAAAATTGTGAATGAACTTATTAGTGGCTTTTAAATTAAAGGACATTTTTCTCCCTTGTATATAGAATAGAATAGAATAGAATAGAATAACAGTGTTGGAAGGGACCTTGGATGTCTTCTAGTCCAACCCCCTGCTTAGGCAGGAAACCTTACACCAATTCAGACAAATGGTTATCCAACATCTTCTTAAAAACTTCCAGTGTTGGAGTATTTACAACTTCTGGAGGCAAGTTGTTCCACTGATTAATTGTTCTCACTGTCAGGAAATTTCTCCTCAGTTCTAAGTTGCTTCTCTCCTTGATTAGTTTCCACCCATTGCTTCTTGTTCTACTCAAGCTGCTTTGGAGAATAGTTTGACTCCCTCTTCTTTATATAAACAATGTAAGAATATAGAGTTGGCCAGGAAGCACCACCTAAGAGAAGATACTGGAGTTTTGGGGAGACTTTTTGTTAATGATATTGAACCTGCTAGTGGGAGACATCCTGAGACTGAAGGAAATGTGGATAGAATTTGTATGAAGAAAAGGTGAAATGCTACTTTTTTAGGTACTAATGTCAAACATCAGCAAATATGCATAGAATATTCCTTTTTTCTTCCTTTTCTTTCACAGGGAGGTTATTAATCAATAGTTCTCATATAAACAGGATTTCTGTCACTCTGTTTAAAACTAGAATAATACTCTAAATAATGTAACTATGATAACTCTCCATTATTAGAAAATTAGCTTCTGCTGGTCTGTTTTTACACTGACGCTATCCTGGACAGTGTGACATTTATTTTAATAAACATTGGCTTTGATCCTAAGATAAATCAAGGAAGTTCATAGAAGAAGTTTCATCCTGTCTTTCACGTACAGTCCCCTGAAAGCTTCTTTCAACATCAAACAGCTTTTAAATAACGTGAGATAAGCCTGGGAGAAGTAACTGGGGGAAAGAGGATAAAAGCCCAGTTGTAGGAATATTCAGAATTAAGTCCCATGAACTTTAGTAAGGCTTAGTCCCAAATATATGTGCCTATTATTACAGCCTGGATTAGATTTGGAGGATTGCTGGCTTTGTGTGATCCCATGTTCCTTGCACTACTCCACATTCTCTTCAGGAACTTCATGAATATCTCTCTCTCCCCTCTGAGGCCAAAGGAGATAGGATTCTTTTTTTTTCTTATGTATAATTTCTGAAATTGGTTTATCGGAGGAGCCAAGGCCCTGTTTTTCACCTGCTATCCCGAAATTTGGCTAGAGTGAGATGACCCAGTTGTGCCAGATTGGGAAATGCCTCTTAATATAAAACATTATGAATAAAAGGGTTATTATATGACAGTGGCACCAGCAAGTATAAAAAGCCTACTTTTCTGACGCAAATCTGAATGTTTTAATTTGTTTACCATCACCAGGGGATGGGTGGTTTCATTTATTTACTCTGAATAAGATAATACTTTGCACTGAAGGCAAACATGGCTTTTGTGTCCTCAGATCTCCAGAGTAAGTTATTATTTACATAACCATAATCCCTGAGGAAGAATTTAAAGAAAATAATGTTATTCCTATGGAGAACTTTGTGTATCTTTTGTTCTGTATGAGGAGGGTGTTAAATGGTCCATTTGCTTCAGGGAAGGAAAATCCTGCTGCTTTAATTTTATCTAATTGCCATCTTAACGTGTTCAGATAGAGTTGTTCTTGTAATGTTTATCTGAAATGGCTTTGCTTTATTGCTTTACCTCATTTATATAGAGATGCCAGAGATGCTAGTTGTATCCCAGAGGAATAGATTTATAGAAAAACATAAAAATATCTCAATCTTGCCCAGAAAAGCAAGGGATCTTACTCTGCAAATCTACAAACAGCACTTGGAATTTTGTCAAATCAAGAGCAAATGACTAAGCCGCAATTAAATGGAAATCCTAGCTGGGTATCCTGAGAATTGAAGCTCAACATATCTGGAAGGTTGGGGAAAACAGACCATGGGGAATATTGAATCCACTTGAATGTTACTTTTCAGTTATATATTGTATAAATGCATAGTAAAATATTGACTGATGTTTTTATTACATCATGAAATGAGTAGTGCATGGCCAGTTACAGGGCGTTAACAACGTATTGGAATTCTGCCATTCTTTCTTGAGAGCAGACAATTGCTCCAACTACAGGCATACTTTTCTGGAAGTAAGCCCACTAACCATATAAGTAGACAGTATACTGTAAACTAGCATTGAATCTGAGCATTGAGACTCAGTACCATATTTTTTGGAGTATAACACGTACCGGAGTATAACACGCAGCAAGGTTTTGAAGAGGAATTTTTTTTAAAAAAAGTTTCTGCACTCTGAAAACCTCCCCAAAATGGCCCATTTTTCATGAATATGGGCCCTTAAAAAAAAGGGGGAATGAATAGCCATTATGAGGCTTGTAGAGTGCTCCTGGGGGGTGGGAGTGGGGCAAAAATGAGAAAAAAACGACCCATTTTTCACAAAAACAGCCCCCCTTTTTTTCCTCGAAAAAAGGGCATGGATAGCCTTTAGGAAGCTTATAGAGTGCTGCTAGGGACTGGGAAAGAGGCAAAAAATGGGCCGTTTTTTGCTCATTTCTTCCCTCCCAAGCCCGCAGGAGGTCTCTGAAAGCCTTCTAAAAGCTATGCACAGCCATTTTGGTGAAGGAGGCGGAATTTCTGCAAAAATATAGTGTATTCAGTATATAAGGTGCACCCAGATTTTCAGCCTCTTTTTTGCGGGAAAAAGGTGTGTTTTATACTCTGAAAAATATAGTAATTTCAATTGAATAATGCACATTAATCCATACTAGCTTCATAACATAGGCTATTATCCTAATTCATGTAAAATATGCCTTTCTACCATTTTTAACTGGAAAAAATGTTCAGGTTGCAGGAAATCCCCGCATAAAAATATATATTTACAGTTCACAGTATTTTAGCGTGATCAACAAATTGTAGCTCTAATAATCCAATCTTTACTTAGCTTCTGGAGACTAAAGGCAACCAGCTCACTGTATCCAGCAATAAGGCTGGTTGCTCTGATTTGATTTCAAAGAGAAGCGCTGGCATCCTGAACCATTAGACTTACAATTGCCTTTCTGATTTTCCCTTTCCTGGCAAATACACATTGTCCAACGTGAGAAGACATCTTTCTTCTCCTCGGGTTTGTAAATATGGAGAAAATTGGTGTCAATCAGAGGTGGTATTCTACTGGTTCGGACTGGTTCATCCAAACTGGTAGCAGAAATTGCAGTTGGCTCCGCCCACCCTCCCTGACTCTATGATATCCCATTTAGGACATTCTTTCCCCAAAAGCACATGCATGGAAGGCTGTGCGCATGCACAGATGTGGAGTGTGCGAGCGAATTGAGCGCGCACATATGTAGGGAAGGTAAGTGTATACCACCCCTGGTGTCAACTAGTTTTCATTTCAATTTTAAATTAAGACAATATATGGACTAGTGTAATTATAAAGCTAGGGCTTCAAAGTTCATATTTCTAAAAAGGATTCCCCCCCCCTCTCCAATCTTCACTTTCTGGGTGTTTCCAGAGGCTTTTTATTCATCTTGCTTTGTTCATGGAATTTGGAGCAGGGATGTTCAAGATGGTTCTCTCCTTTTTATATCTTTAACTCTTTTGTGTTTCTGTCTTTTTCCATAAAATACCTTTTAACAGAGAGAAAAATGGAATAGTTGCATAATATATTTTGAGTGGTAACAGTAAGAGCTCTCCCTTTGAAAACACCATTTGTGTAGGATTTTTTTAAAACAATAAACTCAAATTTGGTGTTTTCCATTAGAAAACAAAAGAGCTCTCCCTCTGAAAATACCATCTATTTGTGTAGGATTAAAAAAAAAACTGAGGTCAGATTTGCTACTTTCCATTAGAAAAAGGAAAGGAGAAAGGACCTCAACGTAGGTCTAGGAAAGTACTGTTCAGTTTTAATATGGTTTCTGCTTGTGATTTGTTCAAGTTTCTTTAATCCAGAATTAAACCCAGATGAATAACTATTCCTAACACCATCAGACATTTCTTACCTGAACCTTCAACCCATAAGTGCTCCAGATAAATCTAGCTACTCTTCTGTATCCTCAAATACTCAGCAACTTTGGTGTTCATGTAGTCAAACTGAGTCCATGTAGCTACCAACCAAATAATGTGGGTCTGTGCTACCATAGAAAATAGTGCATGCTATATCACGTATGAGTGCAATATGAAAGTGACACAGCAAAGAACTATAGAAACCTCTTATTAAAAAAAAACTAATAAAAATCCTTTCTACAGCTGCAATTATTTTGAACATTTTCAGTTAAACCTAATTTATTATTAATCTAAACTGATTCCCAAAAGAGAGCCAGTTTGGTTGAGTGATTAAGGTGCCAGATTAGAAAGTGGGAGACCATGAGTTCAATCCTGCCATAGCTATGAAAACCAGCTCGATGACTTTGGGCCATCATTCTCTCTCTCTCTCTCGTCCAAACTCACCTCACAGGGTGGGTGTTGTAGGGAAAATAGGAGTCAGTAAGAATATTTTGTGTGTTGCTGCCTTGAGCTATTTGTAAAAAGTAATAAAAGCAGGAAATTAAATAAATAAATATTAAAAGAGTTAAGATTTTGTTTTGTTTCGGATCTGGGGAACATATATATCTACAAGTAATCCTTGACTTACAACAGTTCATTTAGTGATCATTTGAAGTTATAACGACTATTTTTCACACTTACTACCACTGTGGCATCCCCATAGTCACATGATTAAAATTTGGAGGCTTGGCAACTGACTCATATTAATGACACTTGCGCTCTCATGTGATCACCTTTTGTAACTTCCTGATAAGCAAAGACAATGGGGAAGTCAGATTCACTTAATAACCATATTATTCACTTAACAACTGCAGTGATGTACTCAACAACTGTGGCAAGAAAGGTCATAAAATGGGGAAAAATCACTTAATAAATATCTCAGTGACAGACATTTTGGGCTCAATTGTGGTCATTAGTCTTTATTTTGCTACCATATATTTACACAACAGACATTTGACAAAATAAATGTTCTTTCAGATTCTGGGGGCAAGATCCTTTTATCCTCTGAATCTTTTTACTAAGATACATTTTAACATTCAGAATTTCTTCATGTGAAAAAAAAGGAAAAAATAGATGTGAATGTAAGAACATAAAAGAATGCTTTAAGACAGTTGGTCTTAAAATAAAACCAAAATATGGCTGAAGAGAATATGACTGAGGCAAGAATCTCAGATGACACTTATTTATTTTGCCTTCCGTGCTGTGAAGCCCAGTAAAATAAAAGAAATCAAGCTGTTAGATAGTATTTATAATGTTTGTCATATATCCATAGACACCTTTGTCAAAATTATTATACTGAAGAATGAGTTAAGTATAAATATCTTGATATACATTGTATTACTTAATAAGGCTTGACACCTGGATCTCCTCAGCACCAGAGGTGGTATTCAGCAGGTTCTGACCAGTTCTGGAGAACCGATAGCAGACATTTTGAGTAGTTTGGAGAACTGGTAAATGCCACCTCTGACTGGCCACGCCCACATCTATTTCACATCTATTCTCTGCCTCCGGAGTCCCAGATGATCGGGAGGGAATGGGGATTTTGCAGTATCCTTCCCCTAGAGTGAGGTGGGAATGGAGATTTTACAGTATCCTTCCCCTGCCATGCCCATCAAACCATGTCACGCCCACCAAGCTACACTACATCCACAGAACTGGTAGTAAAAATTTTTGAATCCCACCACTGCTCAGCACCATGTCCTCCAGCTGGGTTTAATCTTCCAAGATGTCTTTCTCAGGAGAAGTGTTTGGTAGTACCCCATTTCCAGGAAATGAGAGGTGTAGAGTCTGGAAGGATTATTTTGTCTGAGACGATCCTAGTCCTGGAGGTGACATTGGCTACACTGATAGAACTTCCGGAAACTATTACAAAGTTCACTTTGTTCTTCTGTCTGTCCCACCAAATGTTTCAGATCAATTCATTTGGGTGAATTAAGACATTAGCAGGGTTATAGTATGTAACTTTTACTTGAACTTTATTTTAATTTATTGTGGCTGTTTTATTGCAATATTTTATAATTACTGTGAACCTACAATGTTCATAAAATATAGCTATAAATAAATAAGTGTTTTTTTTAAAAAGAATGCAAATTATTCTAATAATGAATCTCACTTATTGAATCTATATAAATTTTTGGTTGTTGATTATGCCTGGCAGTGCTGATAAAAATGATATTCATTGGCTGCTTATTAGACGAAAGTTGGATCCAGTCTCTCATTTTAGTTTAAGATGTTGCATATACTTTTAATAATAGTGGAAACTTTTTGGAATTATTTGCAGGTACATTTTGATAATTTTCTTAACATGAAAGCAATTAATTGATTGCAGATTTTTCACCCCCCCTAGGCAAAGGGGATGTCTTTGGTGATGTCTTCTGGAAAGAAACAACTCTTGCCCAGTCGTGTGCGAATGTAAGGGCTTTGACTTACTGTGACCTTCATGTTATTAAAAGGGATGCCTTACAGAAAGTGCTGGAGTTCTACACAGCCTTTTCACATTCTTTCTCCAGGAATCTCATCCTGACCTACAATTTGCGAAAAAGGGTAAGGCATTATGGAATGGATGGAAAAAAGAGCAAAGAGCTTATTGGAATTGTACTTTTAGATAACAAACAGTATGGATGGAAAATTCTTAGCATGCTAACTGTACTACATTACACTATAGTTTCCTAGTGTTCTTGGCAAGAAGAATTTATTTATTTATTTAGATTTGTATGGTTGCCCAACATGAATGATTGGCATGCTGTATATTAGTAAAACCAAAGAAAAACCCAAATTACAATCAAAACCAGTGAACCAACAGGAACCAACTAAAAATCAACTTTCAGATCAACTTATCCTGATACACTTTCTGTAATCATGCCACTTGAGTGGAAACCCAAAAGGTGTACAATAGTTTTTCATTTATTATTATCTCAGTGCAGCAGCCATCTGAAATGATATATTGAAATTCTTGCTGAGAACTCTGAATTTCATGAACTAGGGGAAAATAATACTTTTAACTTAATTGTTTATTTGATGTGAAAAGCCTCTGACCTTTTCGTGCTTCGTTGACTCTTGATTCCAGTCTCTGACTTGCTCTTTAAAGATGTAAACAAATCAGAGGCAAGGTATTATATTTTGTTCCAATTGTGTCCAACTGATTTGCATGGTGGCAAATCAGTTGGATGGTTTGTAGGTGAGAATTACTGGGAAACATCTAGAATAGATTTCCAACTGCTCCTTAGAAAAACTGTTTCATGTGCTTAGATGTACACAGCAAAATATAGCAAAATTATAATCTTTCTCCTTAATTATGACCTTTGCATATCAGGATTTATTTTTGTCTAAACCTGCACCTAATCTGAGCTGAAAGGGATTCTTTTGCTGGTCTTTTCAGCAGCATCAAAAAGGCTGTCGTGTTTGGATAACTTGTTTTCTTCTTTATGAAGGGCTATATTAATCTACTGTATGGTAAAAAAAAATCAGGTGGAGTCTAGCTGTTTAGAGAACCAAGACATTTTTGTGAGCAGTTCACACCCACACTCTTTCTAATTGTTTGTTTCTGTTTTTGACAAGAGAGCGCTAGAATGCTGATGAGATTGGTGTATGGAGAAATAGATTCTTTTAGAGTCACTTCATCCCTTCATGTTCACTCTATGATTCATAATAAACCTGGATCACTCATGTTACCAATTCCAAGAAGCAATGTTCCCATTTTTAAATGGTTTTTGTTAACTTTTCCATCCTGTCTTATATGACTTTCCTAATTATTTAGGATTGTCAATAACAAAAATCTAGATACGGTATTTAGAAATAGATGGTAAAACTCATTGAAATAGAACAAATGCCAGTGACCACAAAATTTAATGATCTCACAAGTTGGGAGTTGTGGAAAATAGTTTTTACTTAATCTTCCCCAAAGTACTTATATTTAATTCCCAAATTAAGTATATAAACATTCAGAACAGTTTTAGAAAGCTGCAGAACAGCAAATCATTTAACGAATTCAAATAAAATAAAGTATACTGTATGTATCCTCTATTTAACATGCTATTCAATATGTGGACCAAGGACCAATGTTTGTCTGAAAATTTTTTGGTACTACTCCATGATGAGTACAAAATTTTAGAGTGTTTACAAAATTTTGTAGCAATTTGAAATTTTACAACATCTAAGCATGTGATTACTGGACTCATCTTACTGGAGAAAGTTAGAGACTGGTTTGGGTTCTGTCCAACACATGAGTAAGTCATGTGACACAAACTACATACTCATGTTATGGTATTTTATAAAAGAATCAATCCATAATGGATTAGTCTTTACCACTAATAGTTTGAGATCTACTACCCTATACCTTTGTATATATATATTTATATTTTTGTAACTTTCTGTAAAAATTCTCATGAGTAGAGATGGAATGTGCCAATATTGACATTGTTGTATTCTGTTAGGTCTGAAACTGTTCTTACAAATGGGAAAATATATTTTCAAGATGTATGTTTTTGTTTTATGAAACATATCTCACAAAATTGTTGCAGTCATATATATGTATAGATGTATATAAACTGGGAAAAAACTTTTCAAGACTAAAAATTTTGATTAGCAGTGTGCAGTGATTTTAGCACATTTTCTTATAATAACTTCAAATTCAGCATATAATTAATTATCCTTTTGTTTACAAGTCTGAGTGAAACAAAATCATTATAGAATAATATACAGTATATTTTAGGCTTCTGCCGGAGAAAAGCTAACATTTATTAAAACTAAGTTGGTAGCAAACGGATTTAATAATGTCATTATTTTGCCTTACTGAAAGAATGAGTACTAAATTGAGCATGGAATAGAGTAGAATTGAATTCTGACACATTTCAAATAGAGTTGTTTGCTATAACATCAGATAAACAATTTTTTCAAGGCTCAAACACATTTCAGAAGAAGATGTATGGAGGTTAATCAGCCCACATATTGCTTCTTCCCTTTTCTCTCCTAACATATACTGCAAAACTGTTTCAACAAATATATGTGGCTACTTCGTTGGATGCAAAGCAATGCAGGATTTTCATTAATATTTTTTTCTTATTTTATATATTTGCACCTGGGGTACACTTGGCGGCACCTGTTGAATACTAGCGCGGGAAGTAAGGTCTCCCTTTCTGATTGGTTCTTGGGCGGAGCCGGTTTAACCCTCTCTCCGATT